CACAGAGAGGACCATATGGCCTTCCCCACTATGAGACATGACATCCCTCATTGACCCATAGCCCTACGGGGGACAACACTGGAGACACAGTGCAGGAATTGCGCCCGATCTGATCCCACCACAATGAGGCAAAAAACTAGGCGTGCCACAGAACAGCAAGGGGAGCAGAGCAAGGAAGTCCTGGGGGAACACCAAAAATAGACTTTGGAGCCAGGGCAGGCCACCCCATCAGACTCTACCAAAAAACACTCCTAAAGGTCAACAAACAGACCTTGAACTATTTACAGGCTTTTCTTTTTTGTTTTTTTTGTCATTGTTTTGTTGTTGTTGTTTTCTTTTGTCACTTTGTTTTGCTCTGTCTTGTCTTTGGTGCATGTTATTTTCTCTGCTGGTCTATCTCGATAAGACAGGTGGGATAAACAATCTGGAGGAAAAAACAATGGGACCCAAGTTTCTGTTGTTCATTCCCCTGGGGTGGAGGGGTGTGTTATACATTGACCATGGTGATTGGTTCCCCATTTCTCCCCTTTCTCCCGGCACCTGCCCCCTACCCTCATGGTATCGCTACTCCCGTTACTGATCCTGAAGGGTTTATTTGTCCTGGATTCCGTGTGTTGATTGCTCTTATCTGTACCAGTGCACCTGCTTCAGATTCGCTGGATTTGTTAAGGAAGAATTGGGGTCATTGACCTGATGATGGTGGGTTTGATCGTGGGGGAGAGGAAGCATCAAAGAACCAGAGGAATGCTGTGTCTTTCAACAGCGCTATGCTGCACCCTGGCTGACTCGTTGATAAGGAGATTTTTCAACTAACTTTTTATGTATTTGTTTATTTTAGCTTTCTTATGAATTGGGGGAAGGTCACGGCAGTCTGGTTTTCCACACAGCATTACACACCTTTTGAAGTCCCCTCCTATGTGTGTGTGTAGCACGATTAGAGTCCAGCTGACCCACACACTTTGCAGGTTGGAGCTGATGTTGACAGAGGACTGCAGTAGACACCATGAAGCCAGTGAGACCTTAGTTGGCTGTCAACTGATGTCTGACGTGCTCTCTGGGTACCCCCAAGAAGAATGACCCCAAACCAAACCCACTGTCGCGCGCCAATGCGGATGCTGTGGATCAACTCTGGGAGCTTGCGAGGGCTCAGCGCCAAATGCATTGGGTAACCTGGGCCCCTTGCCAAGGAGGACACATCCAAAAGCCAGCCTGGCACAGAGATCAGCATGGGGACGGCTGGGAGAGCGGAGGCTTGCTCAGGGCTCCCCACCCAGGAGAAAGCAGGGCGATCTCGGTCCTGGTGCTCCAGACACTGGCCCCGGTGCGGACTGTGGAAACGTTCCTTTTCTCCTTCGCCGGCTGGTAGGGACAGTCTGGTGTGTTTTTTCCTTCTCCCTTGTTCTGATCCTTACGAATGCTCTCATGTTGCCTTCTCAGGAGCGGGAGGAATGCTCTCTTGGTCTCCTCCCTCCCTCAGAGGGCCCAGCTCCGCCTGCCCTTGGACTCCTCAGGGGGTGGCTGCAGCTGGCTGCAAATGGTAGGGGGCAGGGCGGTGGTGGGGACTTTGTCTCTACCGGGAATGTGTGAAACACTGATTCTAACAAGACTGGTGTCTGTGGCTGCCTGAGCACCGAGGAAGCCACTCCTCACCATCCCCACCCCCAATTCGTCAGCTTTGGGGGGGGAGGGGGAGGGCTGAGACACTTGGGGAGTTGGAACAAAGCCCCGGACCCCCTGGCAGTGCCCTCACTTAGAGGGAACTACAGAGTCTGTGAGAAAGGGTTCCTTAGGGTTGGACAGTTCAGGTGGGGTGTGTGTGAGTGGGGGGCAAGACTCTGTGTTCTCCTTCCCTAAAGATCACAGCCCAGAAAACCTCGTTCGTGGGCCAGTTCTCACCTGTCTCACAAGAGGGCTGTGCTGAGTTCAAAGGAACTGTGGTCTGAGATTGCTCGGTGTCAAGGTGCCTTACAGATCCGAGAACTTTCCAGAGCTTCCCCAAGGGTAGCCCTGGAAAGAGCGATGGGACTCAACCATATTGGAATTCTGGGAAGCTATGGGTCGCTGAGTTCAACCAAGGAGGAGGCGGTGAAGGGAGACTCTCCTAAGTGAACCTTACGCACCCATTGGCAACTCTCCTCCCAACCTTATTCCCTCCTTTGTGGTGGGCATGATGTTTTCACAGAGCCGCTGGCTGGTGCCGGGGCAGACAGTGGAGACCCTACTCTCCAAGGATGTGGGGTGATGCAGACAGGTTGGGTTGGTGGTACCCTGGGGGCAGGGGCAGGCTGCGGCCTGAGTCCAGCAGATTCAAAGGGCCAAGTCATTAGTCATCCAATTCAGAGAGGATTTCAGAAGGAAAAGAAAGGAGGCGATTGCTACACATTAGCCTGGAAAAGTGAATGAAACGGTGTGCGGCAGCCTTTATAAAACAAGCAACCGGTTCCCCTTGCAGAGGAGTCTCGGGGAGGAGATGAGCCAGTCAGGGTGTGATGTAACAACGATGAGAAATACAACTTTCCTCTAGTTCCTAAATGCTTCCTCCCTGCTCCCACTACCATGACTCGAATTCGACCTTGCAAGTCTGGCTAGACCAGAGGATGTACACTGGTACAGATAGGAACTGAAAATCCAGGGAATCCAGGGCGGATGAGCCCTACAGGACCATTGGTGTGAGTGGTGAAACAGGGAGGGTAAAGGGAGAATGTGTAGGAAAGAGGGAACCAATTACAAGGAACTATATGTGACCTCCTCCTTGGGGGACAGACAACCGAAAAGTGGGTGAAGGGAGACGTCGGACAGGGCAAGATATGACAAAATACCAATTTATAAACTATCAAGGGCTCATGAGGGAGGGGGGAGCGGGGAGGGAGGGGAAAAATGAGGACCTAATGTCGGGGGTTTAAATGGAGAGAAAATGTTTTGAGAATGATGTACAAATGTGCTTAACACAATTTATGTTAATGGATTGCGATAACAGTTGTATGAGCCCCTAATAAAATGTTTAAAAAATAAATAAATAGATAAAAAATAAAAAAAAATAATAAAATAAGCAACCGGAAACCCTGGGGGCACGGGAGAATCAGGTCATATCTGATGTTCACCATGTGCCTCTTCCTTGAAATACAAGAAAGTATCCTTGGAAGCCCTCATTTGCATGCCCATGCATGATTTGGGAAGATGGTTCTTAAAAAGAATAGTCAGACAATATCAAATACCTTGAGAGACTGGCCCTGGGCATTCAGGATCAAAGCTTCAAGGGGACACCAAGGCCAACTGGTGTAAATTATTACCCAAAGACCCTGTTCGATAACCTGCTTCAGTGAGTAGTGACTGGGGTCTTACGAGCTCGTGAGGGACCATCTACGATAGAGCTACTAGTCTCTCCCCGTCCAGAGAAAAGAGGAGTGATGAGAATTGAAAACGCGTGGAAACAATTAGTCCCATGGACCAATGAACCATCCGAGCATTAGTCTCCATGGCCTTAAGGCCAGAAGAACCGATACCACTGCCAATTGCTCCGCAAGGGATCACATTGGACTCTAATGATTACAGGGTCCCCAGCAGAGTCGGAGAAAACGGTGGAACAAAACTCAAACGCATAAAAGAGACCAGGTCGGACGGAGGCAGATAGAAACCCTGAGACGATGGCCCTCCTACAACCTTCACGTCTACAACTGAGCTCACCCTGTGGCTCCATTTGCAGCCAAACAAGAGTTTTCTAGAGAAACAATAGAACGAGAGAACGATGCCCATCTTGAGACCATCATCCATTTGAGGTCAGAGGGACAAGAGTTATCCGAGGGCAGCGTTCAAAAGAGTTAGGAATGTTCAACAGGAGGAGGAACGGGGACAGGAGACCCAGGGAGGACGTAAGTTAAGCAAGGGCACGCTGCGGGGGATTGCGATGGCTGAATGGGATCAGAGTATATGTGAATTGTTTCACGGAATATTGATGATCTCCTCTGCACACCTCCACCGCATTCGCAATGAAAACATGTTGACAGTCGTCAAGCTGATCTTGGTTGGTTCTTGCCGCCCTTGGTGCCTCTCCAGGTCTCTCCCCGCCCCAGCACCTTCTTGGAGCGCCACCACCACACACCACCCATCCATCCAGGAGAAGAAGGAGTGGATTCAGAAGGCCAAGGCGGCCTAGCAGGCCGAATGCTACACAGACATGGCCACCTGCACTTGACAGAGCTGTCCAATGAGAAAAACAACCTGGGGGGCTACAAAACCACTGGCTGGGGCCACAGGTCCCTCTGGAGGGTCACCTGGAGCTTTGAACTGAAAACTTATGCCTCCAACAGGAAGTTGCAGCTGATTAAGGACAGTCAAGAGAAAGCAGACTGTCTCCAGAGGAAATGGAATGCGATTGTCCTGCTAGTCCATCCGCACCAAGGTCCTGGAATGGTTGGATCAGCAAATAATCACCAATCCAGAGCCTCTTCTTTCTGAAAACAAAGAGGGGATCATTTCCAGTACCTTCCCGAAGTCGAGGTGCTGACGAAAGGAGGAAAAGAAGGCAATGGACAAAATCCACCCCCCTTTCAGGACAGAAACGCTCAACAAAATTTGCACTGCTAGTTAATTCCATGATATGAGGAAAGGCCTTTATGAAATACCTACTGCAAAGGAAGACTGGGAACTTTCCCCATTGTCAGAAACAAGACAGAGAAAGGAAGTCTTAGCCAGAGCAATTAAATTAAGCAAGCAAGAAAAAAACAAAAACAAAAACAAACTAAAAGAGAACCAATTGGGAAAGAAGAAGTAGCACTACCCTTATTTACATATGACAGGATCCTAGATCAATAAAGCCCAAAGAATTCACAAGAAAGCTGATGGGTCCAATAGCTAAGGTGAAGGGTAGAAGATCAATACCCAGAATCAATTAGGTTTTTAGATCAGTAATGAGCAATCCGAAAAAGAAATGAAAACAATTTCATTTGTAATCAAATAAGATACCTAGGAACAAAGCTCATCAGGCGGGTGAAGGACTTAAACATTGAACGTAAAGCATTATGGACAGGAATTAAAGACCTAAATAAATGGACATTCCATGTTCATAGATTTGAAGACTCGATATTCATTAAGAATCATCTTCTAGAGGAGAGCAAATGTTTTGAGAATGATGAGGGCAATGAAAGTACAAATGTACTTTACACAATGGATGGATTGTGATAAGAGTTGTATGAGCCCCCAGTAAAATGATTTTTTTTAAAACACTGGTGAGTAGAGGGGGGATTGACATCTGTGGGTGCTGGCATGGTGCAAGAGGGGAGAAAGGGGACCATAGGGAGAGGTGGGCTATGGGACCCTGTTGAGCAGGTAGACTGTGTTAGTCTGAGTAGATTAGAGAAACAAATTCATAGATACTCACGTGTGTATAGGAAAGAGCTTTATATGAAGAGTCATTGTCCATTAAGAAAACATCCCAGCCCAGTCCAGATCGAGTCCATTAAGTCCAATATGAGCCCATATGTCCAGTACTAGTCTGTTAATTCCTCTTCAGACTCACACAACACATGCAATGACGCCTAATGAAGGACAGATCACAGGCCAGTGGGTGGAAAGTCTTATGGATCCAGTGGTGGTGGAAGCATCTTAGTGCTGGCCTCCACGTGGTTCCTCCGGCTCCAAGGCTTTGGCTGCCAGCAGCAGAGCTCCATGTGGCTGGTCAAGAGGAATGTCTCGTAGGGAGTGAGTGTGTGTCCCGCCTCCAGTGAGCTATTTTTCTCCTTACCACCTCCAAATGAGGCCATCAAGCTGAGACCTGATTGACAGGCTAAACCCCGCCCCTTCGCTCTCAATAGTCTCAAGTTGACAACAGATTATGGAACTACCACATAGACAGAGACAGAAAGGCAAAGATGGTGGAATAGAAGGAACCCGGGGGGCGGTGGGGGGCAGTTAAGGAGTCCACCACCGACTAGGCTGTCATCAAATGACACTATGACACTAGGCTGTATTTTCATGATCAGATCACACCATCAGATGAGGCTATAGCTCCCCCACAGATTAGACTCTCAAGAGTAGCTTATATCCCCACTGCCAGACTCACCATCAGACAAGTCCCTACCTCCACCACCAGAGTAGGCTGTATCTCCATAGTGGCACTAGATTGTATCTCTTCAAACCATGGGCTATACCTCCACCATCAGTCTGGGCTGTGTCTCCACCATCAAGCGAGACTGTAACTCTGTCATGAGACTAGGTGACACCTCCACCATTAGACTAGGCTTTACCTCCATGACCAGACAAGGCTGTCCTATCATTACCATCTGAGAGGGAGAATGCTGGTGGGCTGTGTGAGTCTGGGCAGGAGTGGAAGGAGTTGGGGTGGGGGGTGGGGGTTGTGATGGGGAAAGAGAAGCCAGGATGCAGTGACTTCAATACAGCAGCAACAGGGAGTCCAGAGGGGGGCTGAGTAGGGAGGTTGGGGGACACAGAACAACTGCTCCTGGAGTGTGAGAGGGTGGGGTGAGGGGCCTGTTTGCATAGCTCCGCAGAGCTGGCCTTTATATACTGTACACTCATTTACCAAGTGCACGGATGACCAGCTAAATCAATGGATTAATAAGCTCTGTAGGTTGGGGGTGGCTTAGGGCTGCTAACGGCCAGGTCAGCAGTTGGCATTGAAACCAGCCACTTGGCAGGAGAAAGACGGGCCTTTCTGCTCCCATATAGAATTACCATCTCAAAAAAATTACAGCCTTGGAAACCCCCGTGGGGCCATTGACTCTCTTCTTTGAGGGTAGGGGTTGTGATGAGTTAGCCTTGACTTGTTGGTGATGGGTTTTCTACTTCACATCAATATGGCACAACCTAAAATAGAGAGAGCGTTACAGTCTCAGAATCTCACAGGGGCACTTCCGCCCTGTCCGATTGGGTTTCTGTGGACTCGATGGCAGTGAGTTTGGGGCTTGGCCACTAACAGAAAGTTTGGCAATTTAAGTTCACACAGAGGCACTTCAGAAGAAAAGATCTACTTTTGTTTTTGTTATTACATGGGATTTAATACATATGTCATTCCACATTTCCATCACCTCAAGACGAATTGTACAGTTGCTACCACGATCCGTTCCCAAACAATCTTTTTCTACATGGATTCCTTGACATCATCTCCCTTTTACCCCGGCCCCCTCCACCACCACTGTATCCCCCGAACCCCTGATTCTACTTGCTGTCCCTATAGGTGCATCCATCCTGGGTTTCATGGACCGAGACACCGAAAAGCATGTAACACAACGTCAAGAAGATGACTTCCATTCAGCCATTGAAATGGAGAGCAGTTCTTCTTTCACATACGTGGGGTTGCTATGAGTCCGTTGATTCTACGGCAACTGTGTGTGTGTGTGTGTGTGTGTGACAGAGAGAGAGAGAGAGAGAGATCTGCATCCATTAACATTCTAATCAAGTAAAGCCCGAGGGGCAAAGTCCTACTCTGACATCCTGGGCTGCCATGACTTAGAAACAACTCAACCGTGTCTTCTTCTTTTCTTATTTTCAATACAGAGACTAAAACCCAAATTAAAACCCATTGCCACCGAGTCTCCTATTGCACAGTGACCCTAAGGGACAGCATGGAATGACCCCACAGAGCTCCCAAGGCCGGGCTCGCTACAGACACAGACAGCGACAACCTTCCTTGGGAGGGGCTGTGAGGCTCAAACTACCAACCTTCCAGTTAGGAGCCCCTAGTGCTTACCACGGGGCCACCAGGGCTCCTTTATAGAGCCCCCCAATCAACGCTCATGGCAGGAGCAGGCAAGACCTCAAATGACGTGCGGAGTGGGACAGACCCGCCGCACAAGCTCTCTAAAGCACCAAAGAGCAAAGGTACAAAGAAATAAATGACAGAGCGATGATGTCACTTTGAAGACCAAGCTTGGCCTGATCCAGACCAGGGCATTTTCTTTTCTTTACTTTTTAAAAAATCATGTTATTGGGGGGCTTGTACAGCTCTTATCACAACCCATTCATGCATCCATGTGTCAAGCACATTGGTACATTGGTTGCCATCATCCTTTTCAAAACATGTTCTTTCTACTTGAGCCCTTGGTATGGGCTCCTCATCCCCGCCCCCCCACTCTCTCTCCCTCATGAACCCTTGGGGGGAAAAAAAAAAAAAATATATATATATATATATATTCATGTCTTACACTGACTGATGTCTCCCTTCACCCACTTCTCCGTTGTCCGGGCCCCTGGGAGGGGGTTCTATGTCGATCATTGTGATCGGTTCCCTCTTTCTCTCCCCACCTTCCCCTTCCCCTCCTGGTATGGCTGTTCTCATGATTGGTCCTGAGGGGTTTATCCGTCCTGGATTCCCTGTGTCTCCAGCTCTGATTTGTGCCCGTGTACACGCTCTAGACCAGGGCGTTTTCAATAGTCGCACGGGCCTGTGAAAGTTGGGCAATCAGCCATCAAGACTGAAGAAGACTTGGTGTATTTGAATCAGGCTGTTGGCAAATACTGGCAGGACCGCCCACTGGCAGAAGAACAAGAACATGTGTCTTGGAGCAGGGACAATGAGAACATGCCTGAGAGGCAGGCGAGGATGGTGAGACTTTGTCTCACCAGCTTCGGACAGTAATCAGGAGAGACCGGTCTCTGGAAACATGATAACGTTTGGTAACGTTTGGTAAACGTGCTGGTAATGTGGAGGGGCAGGCAAAGCAAAACCTTGGACAAGATGGCGCCGTATGGATTGCGACAATGGGAGCCCATCCCTGTCTGTGTCTCAGTGAGCACACGGCTTGGCAGGAATCACAAGTGTCACAGGGGTGGGGTGTCCCTCTGCTGCCAGATGATGCAATTTTTTCAAGTGAAACCAGAAAGCTGTTTACATGTGGAATGTATTGTTTCTTCACATCATGCAGACCCAAGGCAACCCTCCTGGCTCCGACGCCTTGAAATGCGTCCTCTGGACTAGACTCTAAGTGGAGAAAGGAAAGGAGGGATGAACAGGGAGCAGGTTGTTGGAGAGAGAGGTTCAGGATCGAGCCGAGCGGGGAGGTGTGGGATACAGAAAGTTTTTTTCCCCCGGGTTGTGCCCCCATAATATATGCCAAACCTAAGAACACATGGTCATTGACCAGACACTTGGAGGTCAAATGCTTAGAGGTCATCTCCCTGAGGGTATCAGCCATCTAGAGCAGTCAGACCCTATTGTCTGTTCCACCCTACGTGGGGCCCACCCCGCTGGTGGGGATAGTAGATTGCTCCCCTGAAGGAGAGCCCAAAGACAAGGTCAAGCCAACTCAAGGAGGACCAAGATTAGGCTGCCATCATGAACCTGGGGTCTGCCCATCTTGTCATGTGTATACCCCTAGTGCCTCCCCTCCCTATTGTTTGTACAGCCCTAGCTTGTCCCCCTCCTGTCACATGTATGCCTATTGTACAGTGCCTTCCTGTGACGTGTGTGGTTACCTGTAATCAGGGGGGCTTGCACGTCCCTGAAAATGTATATAAACCGTCATTGGAAATATATTCATGCTCTCTCTCTGTGGACCCGGCTGCTGAGGTCATGGCTGTCCGGAAGGTGAGCAATTGCATGCCTTCTCTTGTCTGATGTCTCTTTAATTTTACCCCTTAGTTACACAACCACCCCTGGTACCCCACAGGGAGGCAGGGCAGAGTCTGTGGGAACTCAGACCGAAGATTGCCAATGTGGGGTCAGGTTGGGACTGGAATGTAGCAAACAGAGAAGAACTGAGTACAGTATGCTGGGTGGGGGTTTCTGGGGGCTGTTCCCACTCACCGGGACCCTACAGACAACAGGAGGAAATACTACCCAGTCCTGCGCCGTCTACACCACGTTTTTATGTTTGACCCCATTGTCGTAGCCAGCCCCTGTGTTGATCCATTTCTTTGAGGGCCTTCCTGTTTTCTGCCGTCCCTCTACTTTATCGAGCAGGACGTCCTTCTCCAGTGACTGAACTTTCCTGATAGCAGGGCCAAATAAGTAAGACCAAGTATGCAGGAAGAGTTGGCCAAATCTGCAGGAAGTTTAAGGGATGTTCAGTGGGCTGTCCTGGTGGGTGACCAAAACAGAAAACACACCAAAACTCGCTGCCATCGCGTCAATGCTAACTCAAACCCTGCTGTGTGCGGGTTTCCGAGACTGTAACTGTTTATAGGAGTAGAAAGCCAAGTCTTTCTCCTGAGGAACTGCGGGTGGTTTCGAACTGCCGACCATGTGGATCGCAGCCCAAAGTGTAACCACTCCCTCACCAGGGCTTAACAACGAAAGATGTGGTGATGCGCTTCCATAGAGATTAACCCAACCACCCAATGACATTGAGTTGCTTCTGATTCTTCTAAAAAATCATTTTATTGGGGGCTCTTACAGCTCTTATAACAATCCATACATCAGTTATATCAAGCATATTTGTACAGGTGTTGCCACCATCATTTCCAAAACATTTTCTACTTGAGTCCTTGGTATAAGCTCCTCTTTTATCCCACCACTCCCACCCAGGAGAATCCTTGAACAATTATATGTCATTACTATTATTATTTAGGATCTCACACTGTCCACTGTCTCCCTTCACCCACATTGCTGTTATTCATCCCCTTTGGGGGAGGGGTGGTAGCTGTATATCCAACCTTGCGATGGGCTCTCCCTTTCTCCTGCTGCCCCCTTTGATTCTGATTCTGATTAGGGTTTCTGAGATTATATATCTTTTCCAGAGCAGACAGCCTCGTCTTTCCCTGTAAGAGTGACTGGTAGTTTGAACTGCTGATCCTGCTGTTACCAGCCCAAGACTTATCCTGCAATGCTACCGGGGCTCCTTTCCATAAAGATTACAGTCTAGGAAACCCTATGGGACAGTTGTACTCCGTCCTATATAGTCATGCATCAGAATCGATTTGATGGAACCCAACGACCACACTGTGGGTCAGGTCCGGGTGAATCAAGGAAACTTTGATGCAGAGGGCTGGCCTCAATTCTCTCCCACTGTTTTCTCTTCCATCAGCCCAACAAGAGAGGGCAGGACTGATAACAATCCTTTCTCTTCTTTCCCACAGAGAACCTGAAGCTTTCCTAGCTCCTGGAGACCATGGAGATGAACAGGTAAGCTCATTCATTGGGAAAGAAACTGTATTTGTCTAACGAGGAAGTACTGAGAACAGAATCATAGCTCAAGTGCAGCCACGTTGGTGAGGATGGCACAGGACCCAGGGGTGCCTTGTTTGTTGAACACAGGATCGAGTTCATTCTGTTGCGCACGGTTGGAACCCACTCAATGGCACCTCACATCAACCTTTACAGTGCCACACCATCATCGTCACTACTTCCTTCCAGAACATTTTTACCAGCCCAAATGGAAAACTCACACGCCCCTTAAGCCAGTGGTTCCCAACCTTCCTCATGCTGCGGCCCTCTCATACACTTCCTCATGTTGCGGTGACCCCCAACCATAAAATTATTTTCGTTGCTACTTCATCACTGTCATTTTGCTACTGTGATGAATCAGGCGACCTCTGTGAAAGGGTTGTTCAACCTCCCCACCCCCCCTCCCACAAATGGGTGGAGACCCACAGATTGAGAACCACTGCCTTAAGCAGTCACTCCCTATCTCTTCAAGCTCTTGGCAACCACTAAGCTCCTTCCCACGGATTTGCTCATCCCAGGTACTGCTGATCAATGGGATCAGACAACGTGTGTCCCCAGGTGTCTGACATCACTGACGAGTCCATCCCACTATGGCCTCGATCCGAACAGCCTTCCTTCTGTATCTCACTGCGGTCATCCACTGAGTTTCTGAGACTGAGAATCTCGACAGGAGTAGAGAGCCTCATCCTTCTCCTGAGGACTGACTGGTGGTTTCAAACTGCTGACCAGGCGGTGAGCAGCCAAACACGAACCCGCTGCACCACAGGGGCTTATCCCTTTGTATGGCTGAATGATATCCGTTAGATGGACAGAACACATGTCCGATTTAGACGGGTTTGTTCAACAGCTGGGAAGAGTGCAGCTGTGAACACCCGTGTACAGTTTTTGTTTGAACATTTCCTCTCACTTCTTTTGAGTAGTCGAGGGACCTCCAAAATGTTCGTGGAAATATGGAATTTAAAAATAAGTTTTATAATTGTTTTCCACGATGGCTACACCCATCAGTTCCTTTCAATAATGGATTTTATTTACTTGTAGGTAAATGTGTACCCAACTCTATAGATAGGTTTTCAATAAAGAGCCCTGGTGGTGTAGGGCTGCTGTCACAAGGTTAGTCGTTTGGATCTACCAGCCTGTCTGCATGAGGATGGTGAGGCTCTCTGCTCCCATAAGGATTTAGTCTTGAAAACCCAAAGGGGCAGTTGTACTCTGTCCTATAGGGTCACTTTGAGTAGGAGCCGACTCAGTGGCAGTGAGCTTTGGCTAATATATAAAGGATCACCATTTAAACAAGTAATCAATATAAAAAAAACATAGAGAGATATTTCTAAAAAATTTTTTGGGGGGGCGGTGCGTATAAAATCATCAAAATCTCATATGTATTTTGCACTCATCACATGGCTGATGGTAATAGTTACACCTGATGATGATAGCAAAGGTGGCTGGTAGCTACTGTCTTGGGCAGCACCCTTAAGGTAGAACACTGGTTTGGTTATACTAAAGCTTTATATGAATTATTTTCCTCTAACAGTGGCCTCACATAATATTTGACCTTCTGTGTTTGACTAACCTCACTCAGGATAATGCTCTCCAAATCCACCTGTGTTAGTCCGGGTAGACTAGAGAAACAAATGCAGGGAGACTCACATGTGTATAAGAAAGAGGTTCATATACAAGAGCAATTGAATATAGAGAAAACATCCCAGACCAGTCCAGATCAAGTCCACAAGTCCGATAGTAGCCCATATGTCTGATACCAATCTATAAAAGTCCTCTTCAGACTCATGAAACATATGCAATGATGCCAAATGCAGGAAGATCACAGACCATTTGGGTGGAAGTCTTGTGGATCCAGTGGCGGTAAGAAGCATCTCAGTGCTGGCAGGGGTCTCCACATGGCTCCCATAGCTCCTCCAGTTCTCAGGGCATGGGGTCTGTCAGGATAGTGCCACGTGTCTTGCCAGTAGAGCATCTCTCAGGGAGTGAGTCTTGAGTCTTGTCCGTAGAGAGTCTCCAAGGGAGTGAGCAGAGAGACAGTGTCTCCCGCTTCCAAGGATGAAAAACAGCAGTTCCCAGAATCCTCAGGAGAAGACCACGCCCACACTGAGGCCTCACCGGGCATATCTCAATGGACAGGCTAGACTCCACCCCTACACCCTGCATCTTTCAATTGACACCAGATTATGTAACTACCACACCACCCAAGCCATGAGGTATTTCACGGTTTAATCATTATTCTTTAACGATGCATAGTATCCCTTTGTCAAGCGCTGTTTCATTTCTTCTCTGCCAGAAATTTATACCCATCTCAATAGATATGTTTTCAATAAAGAGCCCTGGTAGTGTAGTGGGTTTACATGTTGGGCTCATGGAAAATCCTATGGCGTGTGTGTGTGATATATGTGTTTGTGTATGTATATATCTATACGTGTGTGTCAAACTCACTTCAAGTTGATTCTGACTCACAGCGACCCTACAGGACAGAGTAGAACAGCTCCTGTGGGTTTCCAAGACTGACTCTTGACAAACGTGGAAAGCCTCCTCATTCTCCCTCAGAGTGGCGGGTGGTTTTGAACTGCTGACCTTGCAGCTAGCAGCCAATTTGTAACCCATCACACCACCGGGGCTCCTGAATAGATCTGCAGAAGTCCAGTGCGCTATCCATTGCACCACAGAGCCCTGAATAGATATATATAATAGAATTGCCATTTCATCAGCCTTCGCATGTATGATGTTCATCATCGTGTAGTTCACCCGGCGCACTCATCCATCCATTCCGTGGCATTGTTTGTTTGTTTGTTTGTCTCTGCGTGGGAAGCTCTGAGGTGCTCCTCATTCCTGGACTCCAGAAAGAAGAGAAGGAGGCTGTGGAGAAACGCAGCCTGCACGTGGCGAGGGCCCTGGAAAAACTGGAGATCCACACGGATGAGGTATGGAGGAGGGATGCCCAGTGTCTGGGGCGCAGCCCAGCCAGGGAGAGCTGGGGGGCGGGGGGAAGGCAGGCGGTGCCTCAGAGGCAGACAAAAGGAAACAGAGCAAGCCCGTCTCATCAGACTGGGAGCATTGTCAAGTTGATTATGACAGGTGCGCTTAGAGGAAACGGTACCAGCTTCTCATTGGATCGCCCTTTTGACCCCCGGTAACTTTGTGTCCGTGATTTAATACTTTCTGCTTCGTTTTCAGTTGAGGTTTTTCGGGTGGTTTGTCTGGTCGTGGTTGTTGGGTTTTTGTTTGTTTGGGGTTTTTTTGGCTGCTTCCTATTAGTGTTTTGTTAGGACGTTCTGGATATCAATCCAGGAGTGGTAAATCTGTAGAGACAGTAACCGTATGAATCATTACCTGGGGGCTCGGCAGGGGAGGATTCAGGGTGGGGTGGGGGGAGGAGGGGGATGAGCAACAATGAATAGGAGAAAGGAGACAGCGTTCTGAAATGGAAAGTGATGCGCGCGCAACTCTTCTTAATACACGTCATTGCACCATCAAATCGCCTGACGTGCGAAGTATAAGCCAATACAACTACTGTACGTAACACCAGCCCCACGACGACCGGAGACAACCGAGAAGAAGGGATAGACAGAGACCCAGCATTCATTCCTTAAATGCAGCCAGGGGGGCGGTGGGGGGCAGGGGGCAGTCAGAGTCAGATGCCTTGGGATCACACACCACCCTGATGACCGCCCTGGCCTAGCCCAGGGACAAGCCCTGCAACGGCCCCTTTCCCCATGCCCAGGCCCCTGTCATCGCCTTGCTGTGCTCTGGTGGGGGGCTGCGGGCCCACCTCGCTTGCCTCGGAGTCCTGAGTGAGATGAAGGAGCAGGGCCTGTTGGATGCTGTCACGTACCTCACGGGCGTCTCTGGCTCCACGTGGTGAGTCCCATCGGGGCCTGGGCACTGTGGGACCCCGGGGCATAATAGTGTCAGTTATTGCTGCTATTAAAGGAGAGTCCTTCCCAGGGTGGCGGGGTGGGTCTCTGAGTGGTGCAAACAATCTGCCCTCCTATAGGAGCTCTGGTCACACGTTGGGCTGCTAACCACAGGGTCAGCAGTTCGAAACCACCCGTTGCTCCTCCTAGAGAGATGAGGATCTCTACTCCGGCAGAGTGACCGTTGGAAACCCATAGGGGCAGGACTACCCATGGCCCTACTGGGACTACCCATGGCCCTACTGGGTCACTAGGAGCCAGGGTGGACTGGGCGACAATGAGTTTTAAAAGTTGGAAGCGGGTTCCCAGTAATACGAAAGGCCTGCGCTTGGTTAATGACAGAAAAGTTGGTTGTTCAAACCCACCTGAGGGCACTAGGAGAGAAAGAACCCAGGAATCTGTGTCTAGAACGATTACCCACCTGCGTCAGTTTGATTCCAACTCCTAGAAATCTTACAGGACAGATCAAAAGTCCCCACACGGTTTCTTAGACTATTGTTCACCACCTGGTTTGAACTCCCAACCTGGCACTTAGCCACTGCCAAGAACTCTGCCACACATAGCTCACCACCAGCCGGAAGCAGTTTGTCAGTTCCAGACAACAGTGGTAACACCACGAGGCAAGAACAGTCCCTGATAATGGCCGAGCCCCATTTCCTATCTAACCTTTCCCCCCAACCCAAAACACCCAAGCTCACTGCCATCTAGTGAATCCCAAAGCCTAGTGGCCCTCGAGGTCAGAGTCAAATTTTCCCTGTGGGTTTCCAACTAGACGAATCAACTTAATGGAGCAGCAAGCCTCATCTTTCTCCAGGCAAGCACCTGGTGGGTTGGAACCCCTGACTTTGTAGTTACCAACTCATGACGGAACCCACTACACACCATCAGGGCTCTAGTCTTAGTGGTTTTATGTCCACTCGCTATCCATTCCTGTCCAGGAAGTAAGTGTTCAGGGTTGAAAACCTCCAGGGCACACACCATCCCCAACCTGCAGATCAGCCCTCCACCTTCCCCTCTCCGCTCTTTCCCCTGCCTCCCCACCCCCAGGGCTCTGTCTTCCTTTTACGCCCATCACGGAAACACAGAAGAGGTGGAGGCGGACCTGAAATGTAGATTCGATCAGAAGGCATGGGACCTGAAACAGAGCCTGGAGAGAGCCATCCGGGCGGCCAGACTGGAGAGTTTCTCCCTGACGGACTTCTGGGCTTACATCATAGTGTCCAAGCAGACCAGAGAAGTAAGTGGTCCCAAGCCCCAGGCGGGAGATGGATGGATGCCAGAAGCGAGCGCTTGCTGTGGCAAAGAGGGGACTTGCCCCACACAGGACTGCCACTGACCTTTCCTTTGTAAACCACACGCTCTTTGTGAGGCACAGGAAATCGAGGGGTGCGTGTCCTTATGGAGGAGACTCATCATTCTGTGAGCTGATCTGTTCTGTCGCTACAGAGAGACCTCAGGTTCCTTTCAGTCCAAGGTTGGAAGAGCAGTTCAGCATAATTGTTTGGGGGGCCAGTCTCCGGTCTTTGCCTGTAGGTCTTACAAGTGGGGCTGCTAACGGCAGAGTCAGCTGTTTGAAACCACCGGCTGCTCCACAGGAGAAAGATGAGGCTGTTTGACCCATCAAGATGGACAGCTTCAGAAACCCATCGATAGGCTGGCAGTTCTGCTTTGTCCAGTAGGGGCGTGAAAGCTGGGATAGGCTCCAGGGCATTCCAACAGCGACTTGGGTTGGGGCGTTTCAAATAGCGTGCTAAGCCCGCTACAGGATCGTTCGCCCATGTGGGTGTCAGAGGTGCAGAGAAAAGAGAAGAAAAGGGTGTATCAGCAGAGGGGAGACCACATGCAAAGATGCCACCCTTGTACCCATATGTGTTAGTCCGGGTGGACTAGAGAAACAAATTCATAAACACGCATATGTATATAAGGGAAATATTTATATACAAGAGCAATTGAACATCGAGAAAACATCCCAACCCAGTCCAGTCCAAGGCCATAAGTCTGATATTGGCCCATATTATGATACCAGTCTATAAAGTCCTCTTCAGACTCATGAAACACATGCAATGATGCCAAATGCAGGATGATCACAAGCCAGTGAGTAGAAAGTCTTTGGGTCCAGTGGCGTTGTAAGCATCTCAGCGCTGGCAGGGGTCTCTTTGTGGCTTCTCTGGTTTCCGAGGTCTGGTTGCATCCATGTGGCTTGTCTTTGTAATGTCTCCCAGGAAGTAGCAGAGAGAGAGTATGTATGTCTTCTGCCTCTAAGGAGGAAGTACCAGATTTCCCAGAATTCTCAGGAGAAGGCCACGCCCACACAGAGGCCACATTGGCTATCTCTGGATTGACAGGCTAGACTCCACCCTTACACTCTTAATCCTCAAATTGACACCAGATGAGGTAATTACCACAATAGCCCACTAGACCACCGGGGCTCCTTCCTGGACGGCCTCATCTTTTATCTCAGGGAGCCTGCTGCTGTCGGGTGGAAGCTGCCGACCTTTAAGTTCACAGCCAAGCCCTGAAAGACCATGCCGCCAGGGCTCCTTGTGGGGAAGTCTCTAGGAAGAACAAAGTCACCACCATCAAGTCAATTCCAACTCATAGCGACCCAAGAGGCCAAGGTAGAACTGTCCCTGTGGGCTTCTGAGACTAACTCTTTCTTGAGAGTAGAAAACCTCCTCTTTCTCACTCGGAGTGGCTGCTGGTTTCACACTGCTGACCTTGCGCATAGCAGCCCCATGGGTAACCCACTGCACTACCAGGCCGAGCCCAGAAGGAGTGAAAGGCTTCTGTAACAGTGAGTGTAGGCACTGAGATTCTTAGCTTCCAGAAGAGAAAATCCATCTGTTGTTGGCTGTCAAGTTCATTGCCAAGTGCTTGACCAGGGCCCCGTCTCAACACACGGGGTGTGTGTGTGTGGGTGGGGTGGGGCGGGGAGACAAAAGGGCTTCTGTATATCTCCACCACTCAACCTCCTGCCTTCTCTCCAAAGCTGCATGACTCCTGTTTGTCCAGCCTGGCAAAGCACGTGGACGAAGGGACACTGCCCTACCCAATATTTGCCGCCATTGACGATGACCTCAGAACTGCCTGGCAGAAGAAAAAGGCTCTGAGTAAGCCAACACTCCTGGGGAAGGGGTGGGGGGGAGGCGGTAGGAAGGGGCTGAAAAATCTCCAGTGAAGTGCCAGGATGTTTCCCTGGTCTTGGCTTTGGGGCGTCTGGTGACTCAGTGCAGCGGGGAAAAGAGGGCCCCCATCAAATCATCACAGGTCCGGTAGGCGCAATTGTACAGCGATAATAAGTAAAGATTATAGTAAAGTCAGAGATCATGAGAGATAGAAGAGAGATTGAAGTAATGGAGTCAGACACAATTCATGGTAGCATGCTCACCTCAGCCCCGCTTGGTGGTCCTCATGGGGAGAGCCCAGTTGCTAGAGTAGGAGAGCGCCCCAACTTTATTGCTAGCCAAGGGTTATATCTCCTTTGGGGGCATGATTACAGGTAACCACATGTCACAGGAAGGGGCAGCAGTACAATAGGCACACACATCGTAGGAAGGTGATGTATGATAGGCATAAGTGTGACAGGAAGGGGATGAGCTAGGGGTGTGCACATAGGAATGGGAGGGACTAGCGGTATACATGTGACAAGATGGGCAGGCCCTAGATTCATAATGGCAGCCTAACCCTGGTCACTGTTCGGTGGGCTCAACTTCTCAGGGGTCTCCTACAAGGAAACAGTCAACTACTGTCCTTATCAGAAGGGAGTGGGTCCTACTTGTTGTGGG